GTTTATAGTCGATACTGATATTTATACACAGTACAACGAAACAGTCATGTGTCAGTCATGAATGATTCGTTCGTTTGCGCTGGTACACTTAAAAGTATTGATGGTTCATTCATCTGTTTTCGAATGTTCCGGTACAACCAATCACAAACAATTGACAATACCTTATTAACTCGTGATTTTTTTATAGGATAGGGTGACAAAGGAGCACACAGTCCACCTGATGGTAAGTGGTTGCTGTGGCCCATAGACATCTACATCTATCCTCGATTACGAATCAAAATGCAGATGCGTTGTCATCCGTGAGGACTTAGGTGGAATGCCTCGTTTCCAGTAAAAAGAGTCTCCGGTTCTCTACACTCACTATACGAAACACAGTAGCATTAAGCTACTATTTGACGCTGGTATTCTATGAGAGCGTGGTCCCTCCCCGGTCGAGCCTACCCATTCGTGCTACAACTATACTACTAATATAACTGCAGCATAGCTCTATCACGTAAAAATTGTGCGTGATTGGTGAGTGATTGGTGTGAATTGTGAATGAGTTGTAAACCGACCGAATCCCGAATGATCTGAATGAATCGTTTTTAGTGTAGCGTACTGTAGTCCGAAATGATCCACTTGAATGATCGATCCGAAGGTACAGGTACACGTGACGAAATGTACTAGATTGATTCGGTCACGAGGAATGAATGATTGACACATGTCTTCAACGAAACCAAACGACTGTTTACTAACCACAAGAGTAACACCGTTGTAATCGCTACTCAGTATTGGGTCGATCTTTAGCAGGTTTTGAGTAAAAAATACATTGGAATTTACATTTGCTAAAAGTCAAACCGGTCAAACGAAAATCATCGTGATGACGTCAGTTTTAAGGTTACGTCACGCTCACGTCAATGTATTAATAAGCTCAATAATCCTATACCTTTAAACGAGTAATTCTTGTATATATATATATAGTGACTTTATTTATTTTTTTTTATATATATATATATATATATATATATATATATATATATATGATTTTTTTAATCGGAATCTCGGAAACGGCTCCAACGATTTTCATAAAATTTAGTGTCCAGAGAGTTTCGGGGGCAATAAATCGATCTAGCTAGGATTTATTTTTAGAAAATGTCCCTTTGTCCGTATTTTCAGGTAATGAAAAAACTGCTACAATATAAGAAGGTAAATTTTGACAGGTTATTAATGATCGTAATAGCTCAGAGGAGGATGTTGTTCGGGCGTGATATCGGTGTTCCGTGGTTCGCGTCCCGTCTTGAGTCCGACTTTTTTCCTTTTTTTTTCAAGTTCCCTTTTTTTGTGAGAAAATCTATTATTTCGAGCCCCTTTTTTTAGTATTTTTTAAAAATACGAAAATTTTAATTAATCTAATTGCACTCATGATTTTTTTATTCAAATAACCAGTTCAGTTTTTTCTATTATGTCAATAAGATCAAAAACTAGTATTCATGTAATTTGTATATAAATGTAACTTAAAAATACCGAGCAAAGCTCGGTTATCCGGGTACTTACAAATAAATTATATATTTTGTATAAAATTATTTATCCGGATTTTATCTGGTCTATTTGAATTATTTTTTAATTCCCGACGCTTACAGTACCCGTGATAACGAGGGGACTGAAAGTACAGAAAGAAACATCAAACTTTACAATTTTCGAACAAATTGACTACCCCACTATGAAATCTGTCAAATGTTACCTACACCTCATTTTAAGTGCCGTCACGCCACCCTGGTGGCAGAAAAAGTCGTGGATTAAAATATATACATAATATAAAATCCTGAATACAAGTTGTGAGCTTAATGCGCCAGTGAATTGATGTATTGTTGGCGGTAGAACTTCTTTTCTACCTGGGAGACCATCTCATCAACATCTGATGATCTTAGAGACCTATTTCTGCCGCGAGGCACTGCCTGTGCTACTGTACCGGCCTGAAGGGTATAGAGAGTCAGTTTCATTACAGACTGTAAGGTATTCCGTCTTAGTTCTCAGAGGTGACAAAGCATCTGTAGCCTTCTTTGTTCAGAGGTCCAAAGGTTCGAATCCCACACGGAACAATTATTTGTATGGCCTACAAGTAATCATTCGGGTCTGGAAAAGTCTGTCCTTGTAAAATTCATGTATGTAAACTGCCTCCACGATAGAGGCGAAAATTTCTGTGTGGGGGTAAGGCGTACATTACACGCTCATGCAGGCCTCAATCAATTACATCAGTCATGATTGATAAAAAACGGATGGTGACTGATAGGCGTACATTATAGCGCTCATGTATTTTTTTTATAGGTTAGGGTGACAAACGAGCACACAGTCCACCTGATGGTAAGTGGTTGCTGAGGCCCATAGACATCTACATCTATCCTCGATTACGAATCAAAATGCAGATGCGTTGTCACCAGTGAGGACTAAGATGGAATGCCTCATTTCCAGTTAAAAGGGTCTCCGGTTCTCTACACTCACCATACGAAACACAGCAGCATTAAGCTACTATATATGTACTACTATATATACTATACTGGTAATCTGTGAGAGCGTGGTCCTTCCCCGGTCTCCCCGGAGCCGATCCATTCGTGCTACAACTATAATACTAATATAACTGCAGCATGGCTCTACCACGTAAATTATGTGGCGTCAATCACTGCATTACACGGTAGGTTATTCGTCAATCACAAGCGTGATTGTTGTAAAACTGACAGCCTATATGAGCGTCTAATGTCACAGATTAATAAATAGTTTACCAAGTAATGTACGACTAACGTTTTAACAGCGTATTTTCACTTGACCAGCTCGTGAATGTCAACTGTTGGACGTCTAGTTGGATCTTTCCCGTTGGATTAAGTATTTACCATAATAGCCACACATCGGTTTGGCGTTCGCAATTTTAGACGTCACATCACACTCGGTTCTTATTACCTATAATAAATCTTAGAATATAATTGTTAAAACTGGTTATTTTAAAATGCGGCCCAAAGATTTATCTGCTAACGTATTTTTAATAGTTTAATAATATAATGCCCTATCATCGTGTTAGTTACAATTATTACAAGAATTTTGATAGATGCGGTTTTAATTCTCTTGCGTTTAACTTAATATACAATCATGAAAAATGTTTGGTTGTGCTTTACGAACTTTTAAATAATTTTCCTGTTGTATGTTTGCCTTTATCAGATTGTCCTGTTTTTTTTTTCTATGATAAGGGTGATAAACGAGCACATGGTCCACCTGGTGGTTAGTGGTTACTGCGGCTGGGATATATGAGAATATTTTTGTCGATGGCTATTGTGCATCAATATATGGTCATCAGATAAAAATATATTATATTGTGTTCTTCGATCAATAACAGTACTAGATTAAGGATCAGGTACAACAATAAGTCGCTCAAGTGGCCACGTTTGTATACGCGTAAATATCTACATTTCTTACTACTACTGTATTATTATTGATCGAAGATTGTTTTATAAATTATAATAATATATAATCATTAAAACAAAAATTTTTTGATTATTCTAAAATAAAGTTCAATTATTATAGATATTAATTGTTGATATTTATAATTTATACCTATAAAGCTAAAGCCTTGACAAATTTTCAAAACGACGTAAATCGTAATTAACAGACTGAATGAGCGAGACAGAGACCAAGATCAAGACAAGTATTTGAGCAAGACCTAGATCGATACCAATACCGTTTTGTTCTTGGTCTTGGATATTAGTCACTAAGGACTTATTTTTTTGTCTAGGAGTCCGTCTGGGTGTCTTAACTATTTGTACCGCCAGAAATCAGTGTTTGCATTGTTGTGTTTCAGTCGGAAAGTTCAAAGCGTATGTAGCCTTTTTTGTTCATTACTTTGCAAGAGTCCATGGTTGTCTATTGCCACTTACCATCTGGTGGACTGTTATTTAGCCTTTCACTTCAATTTTATATTAAAAAAAAACATTTTATGCCCTACGATGTAATACTTTGGCTACTAGGCTATCCGGACATATTATTTAAACGTAGCCGTTGAAGTTCCGAAGGTATCGTTTACGTTTCCCTACCCGTGTTAAGTTGCTAGTGGTCATCGACTGTTTATTTCTCTCTAGAATATTTTACTTGAAACAGGAGATTTATTATAGATCCATTATACATAAAAGCTGTAGTATCTGGGGTATCTTATAATAATTAAGTAACACTGACGCTAAGAGTCGATCTGAGATAATAGGAAAGATCTCCATAGTTATCTGCATACCGGAACAGCAGTGGATGGACTGGTACATGGTGACATAAAAAAATTGGTGTTACTAACGTAATGTCCTCCAGACCGCATTTCGGTCGCGGCGTCTTGTCTCGTTGAATATAGCCGATCTGTGCAGGATAGGATTATAGATAGTGCCCGAACGCGTGCACACAGGTTCTGACCTTGTACGCCATTAATGTAGATAATTAGTCTCATCATGAATTTACCATCAGGTGGACTATTTGCTTTCTTGTCACTTCTACTATTATACAAAAGAACACAAAATTGTGACTGCTTCAAACTAGGATTTGAACCTAGACCACGCTGGTGAACTGTTATAGTAATATGGTAGGAAATCGAATTTACTGGAATCGAATATTATTATAGAATAATCGAAACTTTGTCATCACACTTAATTTAACAATGTTTTTATATTCTCAATAGATACTTGGAACATTGCCAAGGGCTCATGAATAATAACAAATGAACGCTATCTGCGAAGTGCTTTGGTTTACATTAATGCCCAAAAATTGGCGATCTTTAAAAAAACTTTAAGAAGCTATAGTTTAGTAAGTTAATATTTTATATACTGCCCGATTTGCATAATGATAGGCATTAATTCCTACATACATGAAGCTAGCGACTCCATTTAGGAGTGATAGTTAATAGAATTAGGCTTTACTTTACGGAAATAGACGTGCAAGATAATAGTGTAGTAAGTGATAGTGTCCATACATCTCCTGTTTTAATATACCTCTGTCGCCTCTTAAGGCACCAATGGGATGATATGGGGTAGTGAACTTGGCGCCGTGTAGACATGTAATAGATATGGAGTAGTGAACTTGGCGCCGTGTTGACATGTATTAGATATGGGGTAGTGAACTTGGCGCCGTGTTGACATGTAGTTGATATGGGGTAGTGAACTTGGCGCCGTGTGACATGTAATAGATATGGAGTAGTAAACTTTGCGCCGTGTTGACATGTAGTTGATATGGGGTAGTGAACTTGGCGCCGTGTAGACATGTATTAGATATGGGGTAGTGAACTTGGCGCCGTGTTGACATGTATTAGATATGGGGTAGTGATATTGGCGCCTTGTTGACATGTAGTTGATATGGGGTAGTGAACTTGGCGCCGTGTTGACGTGCAGTTGATATGGTGTAGTGAACTTGGCGCCGTGTTTACATGTAGTTGATATGGGGTAGTGAACTTGGCGCCGTGTTGACATGTAGTTGATATGGGGTAGTGAACTTGACGCCGTGTTGACATGTAGTTGATATAGGGTAGTGAACTTGGCGCCGTGTTGACATGTAGTTGATATGGGGTAGTGAACTTGGCGCCGTGTTGACATGTAGTTGATATGGGGTAGTGAATGATTTCTTATATTTACGCGAACACTATACATTGATTAAAACTACTTTTACGGATTTTATCGCGTTTTATTTATATTAATTTTAATACCCGACGTTTCGGGTGCTTTCCAGCACCCATGGTCACGGGGGACTGAGGTGACTGACGTCCCGATGTCAAAGTTAACCCGGAGTACCTTCAGCTTTTTAATTATTGTCTTTGGTCCTATCTACGCAGAATGAACTAACTGTATTTTGAAGTCTTGCAGTGGTATGCTTGGGTTTAGTTTTAATTTTATTAATTATAGGATCCCAAGCATGTGGTAGTACCCAGCCTCCTTCTATCTCTTTATGAGAAAACATCCTAATTTCAATAGAGAGTCTTCCCAGATCGTGCACACCAATTCGTGCCACAACCATAAAATAGCTGCAGCGTGGCTTTGTTTACTGTTATAGTAATGTACATCAAATAGGGTTTAAGGGTGAACAATTCAAAACATTTATCAAACTCTGCGTCCCAAAAAGAAACAAGTGTTATTCCTTACCCAATTAGACTATAAAAAGGCAATAATTCTGTTTCGTTGTAAATTTATGTGGTCTATAAAAGCCGTTATAAAGATTTTTCAGGCGATAAAAGTAAAGAGAGACACTCAAAGTAATTTGCTCTGATTTACGTTTTACTTCGCTCACTTGAATTTGATAGCGGCCTAATTTAGCCAAAGACATGTCGTAAGTACGTTCGTTTCGGAATATAAAATATATCGAAAATGTTCATTATATTTTTAGTAGCAACTCTTCACGACTTTACCGGGAATCACAGACGATATTTTAAAAATATTTGTTCAGAAAAAAAATCAAGTTTTTCGGTAAAATGTAGCCTAGAACCTAGACCCCTTCTAGCATTGCTCTATGACACAGCCAGATCGCTGCTGGGGTATAGTACGCCGGTGCTACCTTATCCCAGTGCTGGGTAGGAGGGTTGGTGCCTTTACACGGATAAATTTGGATGCCGCGGATAAAGGCACCTCTTGTGTTCATGTGCGCATTATCTGAGAAGGATAAAGGGGAGGAGTTGACCTCTCCCATGGAGGGCCACCATGGAGTCTGTGTGTGCGCGCGTATGCGTGTGCGTGTGCGTGTGTATGTAATATTATAGTCTATCCTTGCTACCGCAAAGCAGTCAGTCGTTGCGGCATGGCATTTCGAATAAAAAATGGCGGCCTCCACTAGAGGAAGGGGCGGCTGCCAATTTCGAAGCCATTCCGAAGATTTCCGACAGAGAGAGAAAATTTTCAAAAATGGTTACTTAAGTCTTAATAATATGCATATAACCCCCTGGGCTTATTAAGAGCTATATACTTCATAATTGCAGACACAGTTTAATTTTATTTATATATAGATTGTATCTTCTCAATAATCTTAACGTGGTAGAGCCACGCTGTAGCTATATTATAGTTGTAGCACAGCGTAAATATATTATATATTTCAGCGTAATGCTGCTGTGTTTCGTATGGTGACTGTAGAGAATAGGAGACCCTTTTTACTGAAATCGAAGCATTACATCTTAGTTCTCATGGGTGACATTTGGACATTGGGACGCATTTGCATTTTGATTCTTAATTGAGGATAAATGTGGATGTCTATGGGCCACAGCTTCAGGTGGATTGTGTGGTCGTTTGTCACCCAAACACCCAATGCTGTAAAAAATAATAACTTCAAGTCCTGTTGGAAGCCGAGGACTGGAGGGTAGTTTGTATGTCTTTGGTCGGTTGATCGTTGAGTCGGTTGGCAACCGAAGTTTTTTATTTTGCTCTCATCAGAAAGATTCTGCTGTCCATCTCTTCGTTTCTTTATCTCTGTCATCTCTTACGACATCCACGGGACGTTATGGGATTGGCTAGATATTCTTACACCCCCACTACACGGTTGATGGATTATATACGTATTAATCATAGAAAATAAGTTAATATAAAACAATAAAAAAAAACTTTATTTCAGACAAGGGTCCATAAATTCATTTTTTTTAATAATAATAAAACTATATTTCAGACAAGAGTTTTTTCTAATATGAAATAAAGTTTAGAGAATTAAGAAGATACAGTCAAATATATTCTATACTGAAAAATGGATTAACGCGATAACAGTAAGATAATGGCTAGGTAAAATGTTTATTTGAAATATTTGTAAACTATATTTTGTGTTAAATTTTTCTTATTAAAAATACGTATTTTTTAAGGCGAAATAATATCGTGGTCACGAGCGAAGAGTGGCAATATGATCCTGTTGGGCCGACCCGCGCGCAATTTTATTGCACGATATTTACTTGATTTTTTTTTAAATGAAATATATTCTTTTATTGAAAAATAAACCCATAATTTCCCCATGTGTTTACCGGTGAACACATAGACAAAATTAAATTGAAATTGCTTTAATTAGATTCGCATGAAACTGCTTTTTCCCTAAATGGACGTACCTAAAATTGTAGATTTTGGGGAAACTGCGATCTTTTCGTATCGAGCCAAAATGTGTCAATCGTGTTTTGGCCATCATAGTTCACTAAGTGAAATATTTAACTTTCATAATGATAAAAAAGGTGAATACATAGTTTTTAATAACAAATAATTGATTTTCTACGCACTTATAAAGCGTGTAAAATCTGCTTTTAGCGGCCATTTCACCTCAAAATATTTTGCTGTTAATGGGATTCTCACGTTCACCCTTTTGACTGCATCCACTCCTCTGGATCCGCTACCCATGGAAACTTCCCGCGTCCACTGGGAGAACCGCCCCGTTGGGATTCTATGACCTAAAGCAAAGCAACCTTTAATTTATAGAAAATACAAAAATGAGTACATTTATATCAACATATCAATTTACAATTATAGATTAGGACACCTCGAGATCGAGGAAGCTGATTTTAAGCTAATTCATCTCGGAATATATGCCTATATATAATGCCTACAGAAAACTGCTGTTGGTTGTAACAAGGTATAGTAGCCTCAGTAATAAGTAAATACGCAACGTCACCTCGAGGGAAAGATTTTCCCACGACCATTTACCATCCTAAGTGGGCTAATATGACGTAAAAGTAATCTCTGAGAATCGCTCATAAAGCTAATTTATGTGTCGTAGAGCCGTGGCAGCTCAGATAGTTAGCGCTCGCTGTAAATTTTACAGTACGCGAGCAAACCGGGTTTGATTCCCGCCGGCACCAATTAAATTGTTAATTGCAATTTTAAGTGCTGATTTACCACGTGCTCGGCGGTGAAGAAAACATCGTGAGGAAACCTGCATGTCAGAGAAATAAATAAAAAATATATTTCGAAGACATGTGAAGTTCGCCAACACGCATTGGGGCAGCGTGGCGGACACTTCCTTGCCCTAAAATCCTCTCAGAAATGAGCGGAGGCCTGTGTCCAGCTGTGGGACGTATATAGGCTGTAAATTTACTTTATTTTACTTTATGTGTCGTATATACTAAGAGAAACTGCTCTTATAAATCCTAATTTGTTAAAAAAGATCACCCCTTACCGTGCCCGTTCCTCGTCGCTATATAATCTGGCATACAATTTGCCCTTACAATTACCAAGGGTTATGGCGCAAGTAATTTTCTATTGTCTTTAGAAGTATTATATGTATTAGATATATGAACTTGCTGTTACTCGTATTATTTTTCGTTAATTAAACATTTCGAAGAGATTATTAGACATTAATTAGACATTAGAGCCGTGGTAGCTCAGATGGTTAACACTCGCTGTAAATATAACAGAACGCGAGTAACCCGGGTTCGATCCCCGCCGGCACCAATGAAATTGTTAATTGCAATTTTAAGTGCTGATTTACCACGTGCTTGGCGGTGAAGGAAAATATTGTGAGGGTAATAATCTGCATGTCTGAGCAATAAGAAATAAAGTATTTCGAAGATATGTGAAGTTCGCTAACACTCATTGGGGCAGCGCGGCGGACACTTCCTTGCCCTAAAACCCTATCAGAAGTGATTGCTGTGGCTCATAGTCTATGGGCCACAGCAATCACTTACCATCAGGTGGACTGTGAGCTCGTTTGTCACCATTATTCTATAAAAAAAGTTACAGCGAGCGCTTAGCCTATATGGGCCATAGACATCTACATCTATCCTCGATTACGAATCAAAATGCATATGCGTTGTCATCTGTGCGGACTAAGCTGGAATGCCTCGTTTCCATTAAAAAGGGTATCCTGTTCTCTACACTCACCATACGAAACACAGCAACATTAAGCTACTATTTTACGCTGGTATTCTGTGAGAGCGTGGTCCTCCCCCGGTCGAGCCGACCCATTCGTGCTACAACTATACTACTAATATAACTGCGGCATGGCTCTACCACGTAAAAAATATAATATATATAGCTCCTAAAAACCTCACAAATAGCGACTAACACGGCATTTTACTCAAACACGCAACTTAATAGCCTGTTGGATACACCCATGCGTCTCAATGTTTGTGTAATCACTATGTCTCAAGTCTAAACCAACATAATCTTTGTGATATTATGTAATGTCTAATTATGAATATGAATTAACGAAATCATATAAACCTTTGGCACGTGTAGCTTTTACGTTGTGAGGATAATACTAAATAATTATGTGTGATGGATAGGATTAAATATTTTACACCATGGCTCATCCATTCCATTACAAATGACGATCGAACATAAATAAATAAATAAAGCGTTTATTTCAGTAATCTTGTTTACAACATATTGCTGAGAGTTCCCTGCGAGTAATCACTGGATACATGTGTTGGATTATGCAATTTAGATCATACAGGTCATCTAAACAACACTTTAATATTCTATACGACAATAACAAAGTTGATGAAGTAAATAACTATAAATTTTTGTTTGTAAAAAGCTTCAACGTTTTGCTTTTGCTTTAAAAAGTGTTAGGCAAAATATATCGATTGAGGCTGCTCTCACCGCGTACCATGCTACGTATCATCGGTGGTTAGCTATGGGATATT